TGTTTGCTTGTTTCTCATCTGTTAGTGTGTTTTTTGTTGTTGTTTGTTTGTTGGTTCTTTACACATTAGTCTATTTACTTAATGAAACAACGAAAGAAAAACCGTTTTGATTAGAATTGCGGAGCTGAAAACAGCATGGCGAAATTCAACAACACATCAACACAACACAATGAAAAAGCAACACAACAAACCGCTGCACGCACAACACTACACAACAACATCACACGCACACGCACAACTCCACGCACACACACACACGCACGCACAACGTTGTGCATGAAATAATCTCTGGGGTAAGAATCTATTTGAAAGTCATACACATTTTCATTAGCAGCCCATTCACATGCAAACTGCAACTGCAAATTAATAATAACCAACAACAACATCAACAACAATAATAATAATAGTAATAATAATAATAAAAATAATAATTTAATAATAAGAGTAGTTGTGATAATAGTAGCACCAATATTATTTATAGTGTTAATAGTAATAGTAGTAGCTATATGGCATTTTGTTAAGCACCAAAACCGCAACAACAACCAATCGTAATCAACCAAAGCAACATAAACAACAGCAACAACAAATAACAACAACAGAATAAACAACAACAAAAAACAACATTTACATCGTAAACATCATAAACAGAAAATCATAACATTACCACAACAACTCCACAACAACTCCACAATAACTCCACAGTAGTAGTAGTAGTAGTAGTAGTAGTAGTAGTAGTAGTAGTAGTAGTAGTTAGTAGTAATAGTGGTAATAATAGTAGTAGTGTGTGTAGAAATACGCATGTGCGTTCAAGTGTGTTTAATATTTGTATTTATGGAACACGCTGTGAACTTGTGCTTACGTGTTTTAATACACATAAAAAAATTTCATGTAACTACCCTTATTAACACCCTACCTCATCACACGTACGTTCATTTCCCATATTTGTGTGTGTGTGTATGTATGTGTTTGTGTGTGTGCGCGCGTGTGTGTGTATGTGCGTATGAAACATGGCTAACATAACATCATGCTTTTCTGATATGGTCGTTCCATTCAAACTGAATCACGTTGACAATCCAATTAACTCTCACCCCTCTACTGACTAAACGTCCAAACATGTCTCAAAATACATACATGTACATATGTATATATATACGTATATTATATACATACGTATATGTTTACAAGTTGCTATACAGATACTATACTGTGCACATGCACACACACACACA